AGCAGTCTGTCTTTAGTTTGCATCACTCGGCGGCGTATTGTCGCTTGATGTCGATGGGCTATGCCTACTCCAGCGGGTTGTAATGATCGGGAGACTGCTTCGGAGACTCCTTTTATGTAGGGAATAGCCCTCCAGACTTCGGGCTGCGGATTTGCTGCCCGTCGTCTGTTCATTTGGCGCTTGCTTTGGTTGATAAAAGAATTCTGATATCCTTTAGCTCGACAGAGGTCATGTAGGTGTTGCTGTTCCCTTCTTTTGTCAGGTTCTTTGCTGAAATGCGTTTCAACTCTTTGGAAAAGAGTAAGAACACAGTTGGTGGCTTTTCTAGATACTGTGGTTTGCAGTAGTCCAGTAGAGCAACGGCGCACCAGAACATCGAGGAAAAAAGTTGGTTATTTCTTTCCGCTTTAATTGTGAATTGGATATTCGGGTCAAACGAGTTTAGTCACTCTTTGAGGTGCTCAATGTCGGATGTTTTGACAATGACGAAAGCGTCATCGACATAACGAGCCCAAAACTTCGGTTGATTCTTTGTGAAGACCAAGTGTTCAATCCTTTGAGGGATTACTTCAGCAATTAGGCCTAGACATGCGGCCGGGCATTTGCTTAAGAAAAACTCCTTCCGTAACTTATTCACCTTCAGAAAAAAATATTTTATTTAAGCGATACTAATTCATAATGTCATAATACTCTCCTCTTCATACCCTGCTAAATGCAGCTGAACAAAGAAATACACATGTAAGGTGGTAATGGTGACGCTTTTAATTATACCATTCAGGACTTTAACTACATAGTAAATTCTTGTGTGGTTGATGCGGTTATAGCGTTGGGAATTTATCTGTAAATGCTTATGGTCAGTGAAAGAGGTTCATACGGACTCAACATAACAATGACTTTGCAATGAAGCGTACTTTACTAAAGTCCCTGTCTCGACGAAGTTTCAGGGTCTCAGAATCAAATAGTCTGCGTATGCACAGAAATACATCACAACAGTACAGGTTATAAGCTAGAAATTAAGATAAAGTGTAGAGGGCTAGAATATTATGGATAATTTAATTAAATGCAGAAGAAGTAGAATGTAAGTTATAGGTAAGTGATTCCCAGACGAGTGCAGTCTAGTCATGACTGGACCCAGTCCAGAGTCGCATTCCGGCGGGTGTAATCACCGGGTCCGGATGTCTGCAACCGACCCTAAGGTCGCCGGCTCCGGGAGTCTCTGAGCGTAAGCAGTCGCTACACTAGGGTCCCTTGTAAACTGGCCTTAGGAAGTGATTGGTCAGTTAGGACAGACAGCCGTCCGTGACCTTAACCGGAGCTTTGACACTGTTTGGTACGCACGTGCTGGTGGACACGAGAGCCAGAGATGCGGGCCATGCCCCAAAGACGTGCGAGCAAGGCATGGTTTAAAATACGAAATGGCTACACCACGATGGATACTGATATGTAATAAGAAACTGATCGTACAATTTCTATGTTCAACGTGTGACAGATAGAGATTCAAACAGATTTGAAAAAAACAGAATGCCATTGCGGTGGAGCATACGTTGGGTAAGTCTGTTGCGACAAAGTAAAAGTAAGTCGCAGCCAAATAATACTCACCTCTTCGTAGCTATGTGAAGTCAGCTCAAATCTAGAAATACTCACGTATTTTGCAGGTTAAAATTAATTATACGCCATAAGGCCTATCAATCCGTAGCGCACTTGTGTATGTTGGATAGAGTGGATTTTAATCCATCTCACTTTCAAGCAGGTTGGATACTGTAAGGTAGTAACAAATTCAAAACTAAAGTACGTATGATTCACGCTCGATTGCAGGGAGGTCAAGTTGACCAGAAAGAAACACAATGACCTTGTGGTAAAGCGTACTTTGCGAAACTCCCTTTCCTGACAAAGTAAAAGTACATCACAACCAAATCGTCTGCACCACA